ACTGATTGTTCTTTGTTGACCTGTGTATTAACCAACCATAAATAGTTTTTGTCTAACAGAAAAAAAAATAAAAAAATCTCCCTCTTTAATCTTCATCTGGAATGCAGAAAGCTTTCTTTGTCCTTCAGGAAGATTTCCCTCTCAAACAGGAAGTGCAGTTCTGATAAGATCACATTTAATCAGTTAGTATACTGCCATTATTTGTCCGAGAATCAGAAGCCAGTTTATAGAAGTATTAACGTGTTCAGGTGAATGTTGCTCAGCAGTGCACTGAAAAAAAAGCAGTACTGCTTTGCCACCTTTTTTTTTTTCGCTCAGGCACTGCCAACAGCTGTTGGGTTTTGGTTTCTTAAACAGGAGAATTACAACTACATTAGGACAGAAATCATTGCATTACTCAAACACTCAAACTATTCTGTGCAGAGGAAGCACCAATGTCTAACAAAAAGTCCCCTTAGGTTTTACCAAAAATATTCTCACCATTCCATTTTCAAAAGTTGAAATAAAATTTAAGATTGACAAAAACCTGAACATGCAGGATGAACAGCAAGGGAAGAGAGCATCTTTGCTCAGAAGGGGAAGGAATACCTGAGCTGACATGGGTAAATGCTCCCTCCTCCTCCCCCCCTCCCCCCGCTAAAACTGTTGGTATTTTTCTTTGGCTAAGAGTAATTTGGTCATAATAATCCATCAACTGCCTTCTTGCAGAAAGAGAATTAAGTTGCATTTAGTTGCATTTTATAAATCTCTCTAGCTGGCCACCCTGTTCCTGGTGTGTTGAAGTTTCCATTAAAGTCACCAAAATCAATAGCTACCTGCCTGACTGCAGCAACATTAAGATTAACACAACAAATTCCAGTATGCATACACAGTAGTATTATGCAGCACACATAGTTTGTCCCTCTCTCTTCACCATTGATGCTCATTTAGATTTTTGCTCGATACTTCATTGGATTCAGTCATATATTGTCCCAAGAAAATACTAGAAACAAGACAGAGAAAAAACTAAACAAGGTAACATGCTCCAGGAGTCCCTTACGTTCAAAGTTGGAGGAGCGCCTGCTTCAGAATTTTCAATCAAAACAACATCAATCTACAAATCAAAAAGAATGTCATTGCCACAAACAGAACAGCAGAGAAACTAACAGTATCTACAGACATCTCCATCAGCTCTGTGGACAGGGAAGAGTGATCCTTTGACAATCAGAGTGGGTTGCAGAACATGCAGCGTATAACAAACGTATGTATACACGTAACACATTACTCACACTTTACCATTACAAGTTCTACAAAGTAGGTATGGATTCATCTCCTGTTTTCTAATGGTAATTTATCTTACCAGATAAAGTTAATTTTGTTTGACTTACTCTATGTCAAAATTATTGAAAACATTTTTTACAGGGCCCAATTCTTCTGTTTTCTCACCCATACATCAATAAATTGTTTCTTCAAGTTAAATTAAACTACCGATGGACTGTGCAGCTGAACTTCCACACTATTCTGTTTTCCATAAAATTGGGCTGAATTAAAATTCTGGAAGCCACCACACTGTTGGTGTTTTATTTTGCAGTGTATAACATTGTGCCAGTTACACTACTGATTAGGCTGTGGGCACAGTCATTTTTTAACCGGCTACAAAGATACTATAGGCACCCTACCTTCACTTCCACACTAAAACAAACATACAAAGCTAAGATTTATAGAAACATAGAATGATTCAGGTTGGAAGGGACTTCACCTAGTTTCAAGCTAGTGCCATAGGCAGGGACACCTCTCACCAGACCAACAGCCCCATCCAACATAGCCTTGAACACTTCCATGGATGGGGCATCCACAGCTTCTCTGGGCAGCCTATTCCAGGGCCTCACCGTACTCATAGGAAAGAATTAAAATAATAATAAAAAAAATAGATATAAAAGTTGAAAGCCATTTCAGTTTAAAGCCATGTTCACATCCAGTCGAAATAGGACATTATCTTTATGCTGCTACTTAGCCAGGAGTTAGATTTTGTGTGTGTGTGTGCATGATATACACATATGTAGTCATTAAATTATATTACAATTCCGAAGTTTATACATAATACTGTATTCTGCGACCCACAATGAACTCAATGTGAGACTGAAGTAGTACCAATTCATGTTGGATCAGATTATAAATGAAAAATGCTGCTCAGAATAACTATTTTGTGTTATGGAAAACAAAAAACTTGCAATGTTGCAGAGATAGCTCCATTCTACACCTTAGTAAATGGATTTAGTTGACACCATAATGAAACCTGTGCAATAGTCTCCGGAATGGAGCACTTCCACCCTAAAGGTCTTACCGCTGAGAGCAATAGGACTGTCCGTTCTGAAGTTAGATCTCTCCACTGTGCTAGTGAAAGCTACAAACAAAGGCAACCTTTGAGCCTGGGAGCAGCACTCCCATTAGTCCACACAGAGAACTAGGTCAAAGAAGCCCCAAGGCCTCTCTGAACTACATAAGCAAGCAGAGGCCCATAAAGGGGTACTTCTGCAGCTGTGTATCCCTCATGCAAAGTAATAGCCAATTAATAGTCTCTTTTCAAGACACACCCATGCACTGGATGACAGGAGAAAGAACAATGTCCAAGTTACTCCTTAGTTCAAGAAACATCCTGTTGGCTCACTAAGCTAGATTAGGGAGGGGGGAAGTCTATACAAAAGAAATCCCAATGGATGCGAGAGCTCCAGGCTACCCTTCACTGCCAACTGCAGCAATAGCCAAACGTTTTACCCACTGGGGACTGGAAGGAGACCAAACTCATCTCTCAGAATTGTCAGAGCCCAATTGCCAGAGCCCAATTGCTGTTTGGTTGTAATGTACTACATCGAATTTTGAACAGCAGCCTGTAGTTAGAAGATTATCTAACCCACTGTCAAAGTTATGGGCCAGCTAGTAATCCCCAGATATCTTTTCTTACAATAGGTTATATTAATAGGTTATAATGAATTGGGAGTTTTTATCAGATAGTTGCTCAGAAGAGAGAGAGAAGATAAAGTTTATTTTGGATGCAATATAGAAATCACTTGCTTAAATGCTGCTAATGGTAGGTAGCACAGCTGCTTTCTCTATGAGGTCTGTAGCAGTCTACCTCTTTGAACAACCTTGATAGCTCACCCTAGAGACATCCTACGTAAGTTAGTTTTTAACTGTGAATCTTCTACTCAGCAAGTATGGCAAAACAAGAGAATCTAGACAAAAAATCAGCAATCTAGAATTCATCTGGTAATGCTAAGTTCACCTTTCAATAGGCATACAGCTCTGGAGGTTGCTCACCTAAAGCTGGCATCTTTTCATCATGCTAGTTTCCTAGTATCACTCCTATTTATCTGCAGGCAATATAGAACCAATTGAACATTACAGTAGCACTTTTGGGTTTTACAATCATTTCCATAGCACACTATTGCAAATTTACCAATTATCTGTATTCTTAGCACAAAACGTGCTGCTTTAAAAAAGTACTTGTCACTTTGCACCAGTATTATATTCTATAAGTGTTAAAAATTAGCATTACACCTTTATAACAGTTTTAAAGAACCTAGAGCTAAATGCACTCTCTCCCCAAAATAATGAAGAATTTGTTTAGTAATCATGCCATACGGTCTCATCAGCTACATAATTTAAAAACAAAAAACAACAACAACAACAAAAAAACTGCAGCTCAAAACATCATACTACGCCATGTCTAGCAATTATTTACCAAGCCCAAACAGGTACAGGACTTCCCTGTGCCTCCTCACGTTGTTAGCTAGTACGCAACATCTGCCTCAGTTTGAGGATGAGGCATATAAAGAACTCAGGCTGCTGGAACAACCACAAGACAAGAACCCTGGACATTTCTGAGAATCCTGCATACATTTGAACTGAACATCAGCACCATTTTGAATGTGTGGAAAATAAACAGCCAACCTGTTCTCTTCCGCCTCTCTTCCCTCCAGTCTAATGTATCGTCTTTTCCACCATATTTATCTTTCTGGAAAGGTTGTCCTCCATCACCTCAGCTAACTCCAAACCTCTGTCACACTATCCCTACTTGCAAGTCATATTTTTTTTTCCCCTGGATTTTGGTGGAAATTGCACCTGAATTTGGTTTTTATTTTTTAAAGTGAATCTCTTCAATGATCTCTTCATATTCTTCTATTCTTCACATGTACAGCGGACTCTAGTCTTGGATAATCCCTGGGTTCTACTTAACAGGGCATTTTAAGGGGTTAATTAATAGGAAAACTTCCTTATGCAACAGCTCTGTAAAGCTACTGAGAATGCCAGTTAAATAGGGCTAGTCTGACCACACAGACTGGTGGGCAGTGGAGATTATTTCCTTATACAAGAGCTGGGGTGTGGGAAGAGAATAGTAGAAATTGCATGCAGTTTTGATAGGCAATTTTGAAAGGTAGGTGGTATTGGTAGGCTACCCACAGAGAAGAAAGTGAGATATTCTAAACGGAGATTATTATATATGTGAGATGAGTAAGAATAAAACAAAATGAATGTTTTCTAAGTCTACAGGAATTATGTAGTCAGAAAACTCCCTATCCACTAATGAGAGCAGGACTCTCCCATTAGTACTGCCAATCCTATGTGGACTCAGGAATGAGCAAGTTAACGCAAGACTCTTACAGTGTTTTATTTTCAGGCATAATTTGAGTGGAAACTCCAAACAAACAGGAACATTGCATATCACAATAACTTCCTACATACCTGCAGAGCGCAACAATGAGGACAAGGACTTAGCTAGCATACTGCATATAGCAGCAAAGAGAAGAGCTTCATTATACGAAGGTATGTTAACCATTGCACGTTTTACAATGAACCATAGGAACTAGAGTGATAATCTTTAGGATCCAAGATATAAACCACAATAAGCAAAGGTAGCAACAGATTACTTACTTGCATTTTAGCTTCTTCAGTTCCCCCTTTAAAAAAGAAACAAACAAACAAAAACAAACAAACAAAACAACAAACAAAAAACTTCCTACCTGTGGGTACATATCACAGAACAGTTCTCTGGCCGTATCATCAAGTCCAGGTTTTTCAGGAAATAAAGCAATACTGCTCCAATTCCTCATTTATAAAACATCAAGGAAAAGAAAGGAAAAAAATCACATCTGTTAAGACTGAACACAGCACTAAAAAGAAAGGGGAAAAAAGTACTGCCTGTGCTCACATGTTCTGTAACCCGACCCAGGAGGTAAATTGATCACAGGTGATCTTATCTGAGACCCTAATCAAAGGGACATGCTGAGCTTTACAGATGCCTCTTATTTTATGCTTTTGGGCTGATCTAAGTTTCTGTTCCTCCTTTTCTATTTTTGTTGTTGAAAATACTTTTTGTTCTTTTTGTTATCTTGTAAAAGATTCAAAATATAAAATCAAGTTTAATACTTTTTTTTAATTACAGTACAGTCAAGGATTAGAAAAACAAGTGTTGTTTTTATGTCGTGTCCCCCCCTTTCTTTTTAACATTATAACCTTTAACCGTGACTATTGGCAATGTTCTCTCATTCCATCCAGTAAACACACTCAGGCCCCACACACATTCAAACTCCCTTGATTCAACTTACAAATAGATGAAGAGCTTGACAGATTCAATAGATTTTGTTCCTGGTCATAATCCTTCTGAAGTAATGCCTAAACTTTTTTGCAGCTAGTATCTCAATAGTCTGTCTGTTTAGACTTTCCGTACTCTTACCACAGATTAAACAATCAGTATCTAGGAGCTCAAAACTCCAGCTCTGCACTTGCAAAACTGATGCCAGGGAGCGGTAATTATACTTCAATGACTTTATTGACTCCAAATGATTAAGCCAAGTATGACTGACAAAGCTTTACTGACCATTTCTATTTATAACACAGCACCATTCCATACACATTCAGAGTTAGTTACATGCGGTTCTTGCATGAAGCCTTACTCCCTCTTAAGACTTGGGGGCTTTTACAATAAAGGGGAGTTATCCTTTCATAAGTGTTCATAAAGCCTTTTAGAAATTTTTCATAGCTTCTTGGATTTTTTTATTTTTTTTTCCCTCCAGGGGGTGGGAGGAAGCAGGGGAGAGAACTTTGTTGTTGAAAAGCTGCAATTTGTTTTTAATTTTCTTGTTTTGGATTAACATATACTGCCATCATGTGGGCAGAAATAATAAGAAATTATTCAGTGAAAGCCTCACCTTTATTTTAAAAGCATTCTTGTTGCTGCCTATACCAGCACTAGCTCATGATCAGTGAAACGGGAGGAAAAACAGAAACATGATTTTTTTGTTTGTCTGTTTATATTTCTGATGTCACTTGAAGGAAGAGGTGCCAATACTTGAGTACTCAGTGGAGGTACCATAAAGCTATGCTGCAGCTGGCCAGTGTATTAACTAGTACAAGTGGCAAATACCCCAGCATCAGTACATGGCTGTTCCTACTCTCTCTCAACTGCATGTCTAGTCACACTGAACAGATCAGAGTGACTAGAAAACAAACAAACAAACAAACAAAAAAACAGAACAAGCAAAAGATAGGCTAAGATGTAGCAGCATAAATGCATAGTTCGTATGCAAGGGTCAATATTGCCAGCATTATTTCAACCCACGCACAAGACATGTGAAATCTGTCAGACAAACTGACCAGTTACTTTCTACCTGCCACACTCACTATCTGTAGATTCACCCTCTTCCCTGGGCATTGCAAGAATCATTTACCTCTTTTAGATTAGAACTTCACCTTCAGTGCTGCTTCAATATATTCATAGAATAAAGGACAAAAAGAAAAAGAATGACCACCCACAAGCACAAACACTCTGATTTTTACAAATGTCTTGAAAGCAAATCACTACAAAGTTTAAATACATCATAAATTTATAATTATTTTAAAGAACCTTATTATTGGCAAATAGGTAAGTTTCAAATGTTGTGTATTTGAATGGACTAATGCTATTTAAAATGTATTTTAAAACCTGTATAATTTTCAAAAATAACATAAGTATCGGTATTGCCAAATACCCCAGGCCCCACACTAAAATAAGAATATTCTTAAATTCAAGGAATTATTCTTGACATATTAGCAGGTTTCAAGTTTAAACACAGTACAAAAATGGGGGGGAGGGTGTTAAAAACTATATATTAAATATAGCTCATAAAAAATAGTACTTAAATCTTCACTGAAGCACTAAAATGTCAAAGTTAAGGCTGATTTTGCTAGCTTCATGGCATAGCCATTATAAGCTGCTTTTCAAGCTCCATCACATGGAACCAATTAGTGGGATCTGCCCTCACAATGAGTAGCACTGTATTCCAGAAGGGTCTCACTGAGTAACTTGGTACTCACACTGAGCTGAGTACATCAGGATCTAACAATTACATAGTAAAATATAAATAATACATTGATTCCCCCATTTTAGCAGCTTATCAAGAAAAACGTCTCAATATCCATGCAATAAGATTGCTACACAAGAATCTTACCTATTGCACAAAACAACTTTTAACTCAAGTAAACTTCACCCAAACTGCATCGGGTCTGAGCCTGTATGATACGATCACTGTATAAACAAACGTGTATTGTCTAACATAATGATTTACACAAAAATATGTATGTACTGCCAATAACATGAGCCACATAGGTGTTATTTGAGAAATCAGCTGTCACCAGCATGACTAAAAGAATATTTCTACCCACATTTAGGTGCAATGGTTACTATAGTCTGTTTTTTATTGTTGTTGCTGTTGTTTTAAGTTATTAAAAACTATTTTAAAACATTTTGTAAGAAAATATGGATTCTAGAATCTTGATCAGTATAACAGTTTCAACGTTAGAGTTTCTGATTATTTTGTATATGGAACAAATTTTTCATTCATTGTGTGTGCCATTTCCCTCTTGTATTAAAATCTGATCTGTTCCTTTTTACTACAGTTTTAATACAGTTTAATTTTTTAATACAGTTTAGGTACTTCCAAACTTGTCATGTCATAGCTTGACATTTTATGAGTTACAGCAAGAAGTGACAAATAACTGAATTTATTGTTACATTAACAATTCTACCTGAAATAATTATTTCCATTTAATAATATTTATTTAGAGTAAGATCAGGTTACTTTCCCTTTTCATTAAAAGTAAGGGAACTGTTCTCTCATTAGCATTTAGTCACAAGCTTGACAAACTAGAGTAATGAAAAAGCAATTTTAAATAGATGAACATTAAAACAGAAGGACAGGATTGTTGCAAAAGTGTAACAGAATAAAGAAAAAAAGGGAGAGGTGCAAGCAGCATGAGGAAATGGACTTTAAAGCAAAGTTCCGTCAAATAAACTGATAAATCATCCATCTCCAATACAACGCATTGTTTCATAACATTTCCCTCACTGAGGCCAACACTCAAGCTTGACAGAAAATTCAGAACTCTTCCCAACTCACGGATCAAGCCTATGTATAATACAATAAAAAGAAATGGAAATGAAGAGAACAGCATCCATTTCAGCTGTTCACTTCATGATCATTCAGTCTCAATACATTTCATTAGCCCCCTCATATTCTCCAACAGAAAAGATCTTGATGAGAAGCAGTTTGAACATCGGTGTTGGAGGGAGTCTGAGACATGCTGGTGGTTTACCATTAAGTTCACCAGCTTCAGTTGTAGCTCATCACCTTTCTCACCATCTATACTGTAAGCAGAAGTAATTCTTAAGAAACAGTGTATGTAGTTCAAGGAAAACATACTAACCCAAAAGTATCACATCCCTCTCCTCATGTAATTTCTGTACAGAAATTCAAATGCAGAAACTACAGAAAGTTAAGAAAATCTTCTTACTCGCATTGGAAGGAGCTCAAACTACAGATAAAAGCATACTGCATTCTCAGACCAACAGACTTTTACCAGTTTAAGAAGGATTTACGTGGTGACAGGACAGAGAAGATGTTTCTAAAATACTTCAAATTCTTAACTGTCAGAATTTCTGCATTTACAGTTGAAAGACTACAGAAATTATTTTGTACTTTCAGTGAGATTCATTCTTTTCAGTTCCTTGCAAGAGAAACATACAACAGGATAACTTTTTACTTATGTAGCAGTTCCATCACAAAAGCTGCTATAATATCTGATCTCTGCTACACAATTTCATAACATTTATGTCACTAAGACCTGGACAAAAGTTGCAGTGAATTACAAGCTCTCCAGTGAGCTATGGACCAGAACAAAAAGCAAGCTCAAAACAAGAGAGCTCTACTAGCATGCAGAGAAGCATCAAGTGTTCAGTATTACTGAGAAGACTGCTAACCAGATCTAACAAATAAGGAAGAAAACATAGCTCCACGGACCTTTTTTCTACATGTCATTAATAACTTTACATGAAACAGCAAACAGTCTGCAAGACACCAAAGAGGTTTGGCTTCAGTATCTTCTTATCTTGCCTACTATCAGAAATTAATCTTAACTTGTAATGGTGCTTTTAAGAGTTATTAAAAAAGCATTCATTTCCTTCAAAATTAGACCACAACATGCAACAACAGTGGAATAAAATTGCAATGTTGGCTACTCAAAATCTAATATAATATTTTCCTTTCTTCCCATAAATAAGTAAGTTTCTGTTTCTGTCCCTTGACCCTCTTCGATCTGGGCCTATATTTCACATAGTGTTGCTCAGGGCTGTCTGGCCAGTTCCAGTTAATGAACAGACCTGGCTGAAAAACAGGTGAAAGCTCAGCAAACGCAAGAGGATTCATTGCAGTCCTGGGAACAACAAAAGCATTTCAGCTGAAGCACCAGCCGCAGTGGCTGTTCAAATTGGGCTTAGGCTGCACCTGCTCTATAGCCCACAGCTGAATCACTCGGCACAAAAATTTTCCACACTTATTGGAAAGCTGGGAGTTAAGTTTTTGTAATCTTCACATACCTTAACTCTGTCCCACAGAGTCTGGAAGCTTGCAAAGTGACCACTTACTCAAGGCTAAGAGAGCTCCAGCCTGTCTATAGGGTGTTCTGTGGGGCAGAATTTAGACCAAAAGCTCAGACAAACAATGTTTGCCAAACTCAGAGAGAGAGGCAAGCATTATGATAAAGGCAGGTAGATTTGACAGCTTAAATGTTCAAAAAGCATAAAATTAGACACTGATGTTCTTACCATATGTTTCAGGGAAGTTTCAAGGATTAGCAGGTGTAACCATGTCTGAAACTTTCTGCAGTAAAACTAATCCTCTGAAACCTTAGTCACACCCTGGAGCAGTGGTACACTCTTGCAGATACACTAAGTGTTGCAAAAATACAAAATTATAGCTGTTAATAAAAATACAAGTTCATTCTCTACTCTCAGTTTCTCTAGAACCCTTGTACTTAACGCCCTGTCATTCCCAACCAACTTGAGTCTAATTGATTAATCTGTTTCCTAGGGTGATGGACAAGAATCACTGGTGCTTATACTACAAATAATTAAGAACCATTAAGTAATATACTGAGCTATACACACATGAGGGTAAAACTAAGAAGACTGATGAAGAAACCATTTTTCACAATATTTCTGGAAAAAAAAAAAATCTGAAAAATTCTGAAAGCCTAATTTTAAGAGGTCATTCCATACCAGGTCTTCTTCATTTAAATCAGATTTACCCAATTGTAGCCAACAATTAACTTTTGAAAATCTTTCATTTTTTATTGTTGCTTTTGTTATTAATCTCCTAGAAGTCAAGATGTAAGGATGATTAACAAAACATGAGCCAAAATCCATTGTGTGCATTTGAACACATGCAATAAACACACTGATACATAGAAAGGCTATTTAAAAAAATAAAACAACCATATTTGAACAAAACCTTGCAAGCTGTAGCACACCACTAGAGGGTGCACAAGGCTACTGCATTATATCTGCTCTCAGTCTATATATAAATATTTATTCTCACAAGGCTCCAAGTACACTTGTAAGCATGGTTAATGAAATCTTTAAACCTGCACTCCAGAAGAATATGCTCACTCCCTTGACGCCTACAGGATAAAATTTAAGTTGAATTGGTTTGCAAGCTTCTCCCTGTGGTCCATGCTTTCTTCTAGGTTCTGCAGACTGCAGCCCAACGGAAGGCTTTACAAGCGATGGCTGCAGAAGGGGTTTCAGAAGTATTTTTAGTGTGTCTGCAGTACAGTACGTAAGTCATAGCAGGGTGTGAAGAAATTCTCTTTGCATGAAAACATGGGACATGGGACTTTCCTTGTTGTCCTTTCCCTGCTTTGACTTGCATTGCGTAATGCTGGGGTCATCCTGCTTTCTTACACAGGTTATGAAAAACCAAGCCTCTATGCCAGTGAAAGTACAGTGGCTCTAAGATTATTTTTCAGGACTCTGGAAAAGTCCTTTCTTCTGCTTCTGCATAGACAAATTATTCAGACTCCCTACTAGACAGGGTGTGCCAGACAACAACTTAATTGCATCAGAAAAAAGCATCAGAACTTGTAAGGGTGGCTAGGCCATGGGTAGGGCTGAGAGCCTTATGTTGCTGGCTTGGGATCAGACCTAAGGATAGACAAGGTTAGGGGCACCCAGCTACCATAGATCGTATGGAAGATCTCTCTTATTTGGTGAGGAACTGTATCAAGCTTCCACGAGGTATCTGAGGTTACTGCTAACTATTTATCCATATTTGCATGCTCCCTGATTGCTTAAAAAAAAAAAAAAATCTAATAGATTTTGAAGGTAACATTTCTCTCTACAGAAGTTTTGATTTTCCCTACTAAGACACTTTTACTTAAGTATCAACTAGTTAATTCCATTTTTATCATAGCTTCCTATATTTTCATGCTGTATAGATCTGCCTTTTCTTAAATCAGCTGTCTTCCTCTTGTTCTTCA